CCTCTTAGTGCTGTAGCTTTGTGTTTTTAGACCCTCTGTATTCACTTTCAGTAGTGTCGACTGCTGCTACGTGTGGCATTCGGGAAGTGTAGGACTCTATCTACTTAACTATAACTCTTTATTACCTCTGAAAGCTGAACTTCCCAGAACGTGATTTGCAGTGGTGCCTGTCACAGCTGAAAATGGACGTAAAGCTAGAATTGAGTTAAGGGCTGGATGTTTTACAAGGAGACCATCTGGAAGTAAGAACTATTTTGGAGTGGATGAAAGGGCTCATGCGAGCTCGAGACTTCGACTTGAATCAGATTATATCTGCAAAGAGGTATTAAGGTTCTGGAGAAAGGAGCCCAGGTACTTCTTAAAAAAGCCAAGCTTAAAAAAAAAAAAAGAGTTTAGTTTAAGCAATTTATATCCTCCTGATGATGACTGATTGAAGGTCAGACCCTTGGGTTGAGGCCCAGACTCTCTCCGCAGCCATGGCCAGGGCAAGAGCTGGCAGTGGAGAAGTGGAGACACAATTAAAGCTTTATCCCTTAAAAAAAAAAAAAAAATACGAAAGCCTATAAAAAGCAAATGTTCTGGGAAAAAAACACCGTTTTACCAGCAGAAGTGCAGTGAGAAGCACTGAGGCAGCCCGAGCTCGTGCTTTCATTTAATCACCCCTTCCTGTGAGGCTCCCGCATGGGGCGAGAGGGGAACTGCGGTGTGAGGCCCCCGCCTTCGCTGCCCCACACTGTGCCCCACACAAGCTCCTTCGGCCTGGAAGGGACACGGATCACAGTAACGTGGCAAGGAGGGGACTCCAATAGCTGACAGGCAAGAGGAGACTGCGCAGGATGGCCCTTAGCTGGCGTTGGRCAAGGGCATCCTGCTTCATCAGCTTTACTGACTCTTCTTATAATCCCATCACAGGGATTTAGAGGCCCTGACAGTCTGTCAGGTGAGTGGCCCGATCACCCTCCCTGGTGGTACAGCTCCTGCTGGGACAATAGTGACAAAAATGCAGAGCCACTGAGGCTGGACACTGTCCTCCTTTAACAAAATTCTACCCCCCCCCCCCACAAAAAAAAAAAAAAAATCAGTTTTGAACATCAGGTAGCTGTTGCAAAACGCATGTGCCAACAAGCAAAACTGCAGCTAGAGACTGTAAAACAGAACCGAACGAGGTTCTTCATTCAAGCTCAAATTATCTACAGACTTAAAATACAGGAAGGTAAGTTTACCATTTGAATGAAGAACTAACCACTACTGGTGTCTAATAAGGAGACCAGAGAAATCCACAAGGGAAAAAAAGCCCACATATTATTTTTATTTCCATCAAAATGGTTTCGACATTTCTGCAGCAATATTTTTTGAGTCAGTGCAAATGAAATAAGCTAATCACCATGGGGCTCTTTTATTTGCCACTGTATTCCTGACTAAAGAGAGCGCTGTGTGATGGCTGCCTGTGTGTTTTGCTCATGCAGTTCTGCATATCCCACCTTCAAGGGGGTGCGTTCTCATATGCAGGTTTGTAGGAGAGATACCTGTGTCACAGAGCCATAAAATTCTTGTATCATAGGAAAGCAGAACAGAAGTTCTAGGTTCCTTGTTCTGCCTTTCTTTCCCTTCCCCACTCCTGTCTCGATACCGTATCTGTGCGGTACAGCTTCACGGGATTTTTCTGCATTGCTACCACCTAATGGTCATAATGTCTTGCCTTACCTCTAATGGCAGCAATTTTGTCTCACTCGCATACAGCTTTCAGACAGAACATACAATAGCTTTTGTTCACTTTAGCAAAAAAAAAAAAAAAAAAAAAAGGTAAAATACTGAAATTACTGTCAGACTTTCATCACGCAAATTTTTCTCTTTGCCTGGTAAAGTCTTTTTTTTTGCTCAGTTTTCCTGAATTTCTCATAATAAAGAGGGTTATGATTAATTTGCAGATTGAGTAACCTTTTTCTCAATGCACCCTACTCAATAAATGAACAAGCTGCTTGCAGTAATTAAAGTAATGTCATCCTGTGCTCAAATTGCTGGTGCTAATAAGGCTAATTGGCAACAGCAAGCATTAACTGTGATTAGTCATATGCATCTAATGTCATCACCAATGCCTATAATTTTCCACATAGACGGAATTTCACATCTGTTTTAAATCAGTTGCCTGTTGTCTGCATTGGTGTTCTTCCCTAGATTATTGTACCAAAGATTTCTTAGTACAATAGATGACAGAAAAGTTGATTTTCTCTTTCAAGTGTACAAAGACGCACAGCAGAGAACAAGGCATTGAGTTTTTCAAACCACCCTTAACCAAGTCTTTGATTTCAGTTAAATTCATGTTTCTCTTCTTTTGCRGTGGTCTTTGTAGTCTTATATCCCTTTCTACAGGGTACAGATTATTCACAGCAGAACTTTCATCTGATCAGTTTCAGACCACAAACTTTATGTCGCATTGAAACAGATGAATCAAAGGTTTGTTTTGGAAATCTGCAAAAGATATTTATCAGGATGATACATTTTCCAGGCTTTTCTATAATTTATTAAAGCCTTTTTTTTTTTTCTGTAAGTAATCAATTTGTTGTGTCAAAGCCATTTAGCAGGCATTAAATTATCAAAAGATCAAGTGTCTGATATCAAGCATACTTTTAGAGACCATCTTTTCCTACTTCTTTGCAACATCCTTTTTTTCCATATGTGAAGACTTCTTTCTCCCCAGGCTTCTGTCGACCAAGTGATGGATTCTATAAGCACTTCTTAGACATCCAGTTTGGGCAGCTTTCCGTGTTGCTGGTCAAACAGCTTCAGCTTTTCCAGGAAGCTCTGCACTGCTCACAAGCTYGCGTTCAGCTGGTGTTGGAGCTTGCAGGAAGCCTCCAAGTAGCAGGTTGTGTCCTCTGCATCCTGTTGGTTAGGGAAAGGCCAGCTTGCCTTAGGCAGAACCAGGCAGCTATAGGAGAGGGAAGCTCTGCTCTTAGAGCAGTTCCAGCAATCCCTACTGGGTTTATTGCCCTTTCAGCTGGCTTTTCTCACTTCATATTCCCAAGTACACAGCAGTTACTCATAAAAGTTGCCTGGCTCCTTACTTTATTGGATCAGGTCATTACTTCTTGCCTTTGCTCACTTGTCTAAGACTGAGCACTCAGGAAAACACTTGTAATTCTGCAGCTTGCCCTATTACTCATGTGAGTTGTGTGTCTCGCTCTGACTTGCCACTGCGGTTAATGTGACACTAACATCAGTGTCCCCGTTCTTTCAGGTATGAGGACCATCKTGTTCTAAAGATGGTTCTCAAGGTGCACATGATCCTCAACAGCAAAGCAGCAGGTATGGAGCAGGTTCAAGTTCCTCRATTGTTTTTGCCTATACAGAGCACGGGTGGTATTTTTGGAAGGTCTCCCTGCAGTGGAGGAGGATTGCGATCACACAGGCACAGCGGACACGGACACGTCTGGCAGCCCTGATGGACTGCACCCCTCAGAGCTGGCGGATGCACTGCAGGACACGGGGCAGCTTAGGGGAAGAATTTGACTGAGCAAGCCTAGGCCAACTTTTACAACTAAGAACCTACCCTTTTCCAAGGCAGCATAGCTACGGAGTGAACATGCCTGGCCTTGCTTACAGCTGCAGCCCTCAGATTCAGCTGAAACATTTGTGTTAAGTGAGGGCCCTTCTCTAGTAATGGAAAACCCCCTTTCCAGCCAGATAAGCTTTACTGGCTGCAATGAAGGTATTACTAGGTATYAGGAGTCATTGCTCTCTTAACAGCAGTAAGTGTAGTGGATTAGAGCAGACGACCAACTCTCTATAAATTAACACAGAGTRAATAATTAACAGTCGTGTTAAGACAAACCTTAGAAAATTTGTCATTTTTTACCTCATTAAAAACAGTACATGATGGGAATGTAGCAGACATTTATTTATTTTGATGTGTTTTTATTTCAGATTTGACAGAAGATTTGTTTAAAGCCCATTCTTGAAGTAAAAAGAAAAAAAACCAGCTCTTGGCCCTGCCATCAAAACTTTCAAGGACAACTTTACCAGGTAAGAACARAGTCCTAAAATAATGGCAAACCCACAATCAGTTTAGAGACTGGATATGGTGCAGCAAGTCACAGTATAGAAGYGATCCTCTGTTTAACTCTGTCACCTACTACCCAGGACAGAATTGGAGATATCTGGACAGCAAGATGTGAAAATGGATAATACTAAAAGCTTTTCTTTCATAGTGGTTTCTCAGACAAGAAAGACAAAGATAAAATTAGAGCAATAGATAAGTACAAATAATTTTGCACTCATCTAAAAACTTAGGTCAAACTTAATATGCAATACCAACAATTTACAGAAAAGTTTTTTCACTCCAACTTTTGCAATAAACACTTCACCAACACAAGTAGTACCCAGTTCTGTCTGCATTTAGATTAATGACTGCTTAAGGTTGATACTGCCTTCCAGAATTTCAGTGCTACAATCAAGACAAGGGAATTTGCATTTTTTCACACTTTAATTGTTATAGAATGGTATAATCATTAAGAAAGTCTGGTATTAGCTCATCAGTAATAATTTCAAAAGGTTTTTATTTTGTAAGAGAAAGTGTCTAGCTTTTCCTTTCTTATTTTGTGACCACACCAGTCTCATCTTTATCAGTATAAGGCCTTACAGTGTGCTGATAACGAGACATACAGCCAAGGTGCTTTAACAGGCTTTTTATTAGCTGTGCTGGAGTCTGACAGAACTGAGCAGGAGGGGAGGTATGTCTTTTAATATCTCATTAATAGCTGTGTTTAAGAACATGCCATTACATCCCACACTCTGAAGTGGTAAACAGTTGGATAAGTTGATGAAAAATAACACAGCTTTAGCTTCAGAGTCAGTTAAGCTTTCATCTGTCATATAATACCCGTAATCTATTCAAAACAAATGTATGTCTTGAAATTGAACCAATTGCTTCCTTTAAAGTTAACATGGGACATCTCAAGTCACAGTCTATACAGTCATTAGCAGAACACATAGTAGAAAACACTTGAGAATCATTCAAATCCTCAGCAACTGTGTATGGAAGGCATTACTCTTAACACTATGACCCAGTGGTGCCTGTCGTCACCTCCTGTGGAAGGAATCAGAGTCCAGGCAGTTGGAGTGAAACCTGATGTGCTGCAGACGTGGTTCAGGTCATGGAGAGTTTTATCAGTTCCCTGCGTGGCTGGGCACTGAACACATCTCCCACAGCTCAAGAGCCAGTAAACACACGGCACCTTAGACTCAACAGCAGCACCTTTATTCTCTTCACCAAGAAAAGCTATAGGTTAAAAACAAGAGGTTGCTTCTTATGGAGTTCCTAAGCATTGTTATAGGTCTGTAGAACAAATCAAGGCCATATATTGCTTAAAAATTGTCCTTGCCTCCTCACACTTAAGTAGTCCTCCCACAATCTCACAATGGGGAGGACAGCAACAYAGCTCTAAGCATGCCCCGAGCGGAGACCGGCATTAAGGATGTGGTGCTGCTTCTGTGAGAACAGAGCTCTGGCTGCATCCAGTCCAGGTCTGGAAAGGCAGGGAGAGCAGCACCCACTGGCGGCCAAAAGTAACAGATCTGACCAAAACAGAGCATCCTCCTGGGCCCTGGAGAGCCAACAGCACCGGTGCAGAGCAGCCAGTGCCTGACACCTGACTGACTGGGGTCACCAGGCAGCCAGAAAAACATCACCTGAGCAAGGGGACAGGCTGAGCCTCAGAGAGAGCACAAGATGCATCTGCTAAAGAAAAGAAAGAGTTAAACATTTCACAAAAGGTTTTGCTACTGCAATAATTTTTACTCCAGCTTTCAGGCATAGGAAAACATGCAGACACTTCTGTGCTTGAAGCACTGCTGCAACATAGCAAGAGTTACTATTTTGAGCAGGTCAGCAGTGATCTGCTTCAGTGTGTGAGCAGAGCCTGGAGCTGCGTACAACGCTTCCTGCTGCAACTGTGTAAGACACATGTCTGAAAACAGTCATCTCCAAGGAAATTAAAACTAATTTCAACAGGAAAATAACTTTATAATGAAAGATAGCAGCTGGGCTCAATTCACATTCTACATAACTGCTCTTAAACCATTGCTGACATTCACAGCCTCAGTCAGCAAGGCGACTCTCTGGCCTTTGAGAAAGCAATGCTCCAAAACATGGATTGCACCAGCAGCAAGGTAAGCTTACTTAATTCTTCCTGCAGTTAAATATGCTACAGGAACTTTGTGCACAAAGCTTCAAGAGTTTACCCCATCATATAACTGCATTAAAATGATTTCTATTAAATAAGACAAGTTCTACTATGAGTACGCTGGATGTGATTAAGCAGGCCCGTTAACACAGGTACTCAGAAATCTCCAGGTACCTCCAAACCTCCCAAGACGATGTGAACAGTAGAAAGTGCTGTAAGATGCTCTACGTGTGCATGTAAAGGTGTYCCCTTGCCTCACCAAAGCTTTCCCTTGTAGTTCAGCATTCCCAATACGAGCAATTCAAACCCCACAAAGTCCTGGTAGGTTGTGCACAGATCCTATCACAGAACCTCCCTGGACAAAGTCCCCTCAAACCCAGGTTATTCCAGTCTTACCTGGCATCCCGCACACGTTGCTACACCCTCTGGATCCCTGCAGTCACCCTTAGGTGGGTCAGCACTGTTCTCCTCAACCTGCATAGCTGCCAACCTCCCACTGGTACTACTTAAGGTGAAGAGAAGCTGCTGGGGTARGAAATTCCCCTTGGCATTTACCCACCTTACAGGTCAGGCATGGAGAGCAGGGGGACCCCACAGTCCCCCTTCTGGAGCGGCAGCACAAGCTGTTATGGGGCCAGTGCTGCAGCCCACAGACAGGAAGGYGCCACGAGCCTGAAAGGACCCAGTGCCTGTAGCTGGGCCGGGCGGCTGCATCCCTGCCTGGATCTCAGCACGCTGCGGGAAGGAGGGAATGCAAAACACCTCGTGCAAGCGCAGCCCACAGAACTGCAGGCAGAGCGCTGCCAATCTCGCTACCTTTAGGGGTGCGGCAAAACACTCAGCACCAATAGTATTTTTGGCAGAACTCACCTGGAAGTAACTCTGAATTCAAGAAGGAACAATTTGCAAACTTGGATTCCATTATTTGCGCACAAATAAAAGGGTAGCTATAGTTGCCTCTTGTTTTCTTTCAGAGGACCCAGTTTACAACAGGTTACAGTGACATCTGCCAACAAAGCTTGCCCAAGGAAATGCAAGACAGGAAGAAATAAGGGCAATGCCATCATACATTTGTTTTTTTTTTTTATTTCTGTACGCAATGTAATGTTTAGGCACGTTGCTTGGGACACTTTCTAAAATAAATCATTGGCCATTGTTTAGAGTATCCTTTTGGCTTTAAATACTGGTCAGGAAAACAAATGATGTAAAAATAAATGAATATAACTATTACAGAAATAAAAACGGATTTGCATCTAAAAGTGCAGGAGGTGAAGTACTTTAACCCTTTCACCAGACAATGTGGCAATATACAGTATATTGCTTCGGTTTGTTTGAGAAGGCTGTTGGAATTTTACACTGACATAGAAAATTATAAATTACACAGAATTAGTTTCCATAATCACTATATATATATACACAAACCAGCTGTGAAAAAAAACTGGTTCAGAACATACAAATGAAAGCCTCACACAGATCAGTACAGTGAAAGTAACAATTAACATGCTCTGCTGCCAAAATTGGTATTAAAAAAACACTATATACTTTTAAAATGCAGGTACTGTAATTACATTAGCAGCACGGGCATTTCATTTACTCGACTCGTCTAAGAGGATCACAGCGTCTTAAATACGCAGATTGTTCTGAAATGTTCCATCGTATAATGCTCGGCAGTAAAGTAAATCTTGGTGAATGGGTTAAAAGGCAGGTGAATCACTTAAAAAACACAACAAGCCATGTGCACTTCAAATATTCTAGTGTTTCACCTGGAAGGTATTGTTTCAAGCAAACAAGACTTAACAGAACATATGGCTTTACAGTAACATCAATTTGTCAACTAAGTTGTAGCAATAAATACTTAAAATCTCTACCAATAGACTTACATTTTTGATCTGTTTTAAACAATACRGAAAACAATTACCAATTAAAAAACCTGCTGTAAAATGTTGAACACCAAAAAGTCTTATTTAAATCACTTTTGTAAGCTAAAACAACCAAAATAACATTTATAGGGCATTTCAGTTCTACAATTCTTCGCCAACCTGGAAGAAACATGAATTTTTTTTTCTCCTCTTCATTTTCTTTTTACAAGGTGAAAAATGTATGAAAACTGCTAAATACTTTGGTCACACTAATTGTCAAATAGTTATGTCTCAAATACATTAGATTTGTGTATTCACTTTTTTATAAAACTATTCTTACAGCCATTTTAACTATAGTAACACTACTGTCATTACATGGGTGGCAAGATCTTATTTCACAGGCCACCCTTTCTTTAGAACAATACAATATAAACATACGCAAAAATTATTGGTATTTCTCAATGTGCAATATTTTTTTTCTTTTTTACACTTATGAATTTCTGTACAATGTCTTAAAATCTAGAATATAAATGTTGCTGGTCCTGATCCCTTGCAAAATTAGTGCAGCAGTGACTGGCTTCAACAGGCTCTAGATGAAATCCTCAAGGAACACTCGGCCCTCGGAGCAGTTCCTTTTCCTCAGCCGGCAGTGGGAGGCATCACCTATCATACGGGGCCGTTAACAGAAGTCTCTCCTAAAAGGCTGCGCTGGCCAGTCCTGAGGGGCCAAGAAAAGGGCGCTGTTAAGTGTACAAGAAACAAGGAGGCACCCAGACAAGCTCCCCCAAAGGAATGTCAGCCAAGGCTTTCCAGAAGAAAGGTGCAAAGGACTGGGAGCGCTCTCAGCCCATTGCTCTCCCCAGTTCAGCTGCACCCCTCATGCTGCCCAATTCAGTGCAACACTTAATGTTAACTGGGCACACCTGAGACYAATAGTGCCACAAACGTGCTTTTTGTCCACACCTCTCTCTCTCTGTGAGGCAGAGCACAACAGCAAGAGCACTCCAGACAGCTACTTATTTTCAAGCACAAATGCGTAGCAGAAGGAAGCGTTTAAAAGTTGCTTTTGTTCCTAATCTATTCTGCAATCCTCAGCTTCCACACACTCGAGGGATGCTTTGCAGACTGCAGGCTCCACTGGGGGCTACACTGGAGATGTTCCTGCAGCTCTAGCTCTGCGTGGGTCACGGCCCGGGGAGGTCCCGCTCCTGGCCATGCTCCACGTGCGCGGGACCGGCCGAGGTCCTCGGCTGCACTGGAGCTGCTCTGCTCCGCACGAGCCCAGAAACAGGCCCGGCGGCAAGCGGCGGCCCCGCGGCAAGCGGCGGCCCCGCGAGCCCTCTGCCGGCTCGGCCACGCGCGCTGCCCGCCCTCCGAGCGCCTCGCCTGCCCTGCAGCCTCACGCAGATCCGAACCAAGAGAGCCCGCTGACAAAATCAGGGACTTCGGCTAAAGAAGGGGCCGTGAGCGAGGGGAGCCTCTGGGTTTCCCTGCTTCAACTACAACATACAGGTTTTGCAAGTGAGATGCATTTCTTTACTGAATTCCTGAAGTCTAACAAGAAAAAAGACCATGAGCAGATGCCTCTTTTGAAAGAAGCATCCCTACGTGCCAGTTTAAAAACAAAAAAMCACAACATTTAAGCAGGAACAGCTTCCTGTGCTCAGGTGCAGTCACCTCCAAACTGTACCCTGAATCACTGGCTCTGAAACATAGAGCCAGCCCAGCGGCCAAGGCAAAGCATCCTCACGCCTTTGCTGTGACACGTGTGCTGAACAACTCCAGTGGTTCCGATTTCAAGAGGATTTTATTTGAAACAATTGGCTTAAACACTTGGAACATTTTGCCTCTACCTTTGAATCAGTCACTGTGTGTACCCTTGTCCTTATCAGACACAAATCTGAGTGCTTGCAGGTTTCAACAATTATTTGACTAGCTCATGGTCAAGTGTGACTTAAAGCATCACTCCACACAGCTGCATTTATGGATCCCCTCCAACCACTCAGCAGGTGGGAAAGAAATAACCCTAGCTTAGGTGAATCCAGAGGACGAAGTCAAACTTAATCAGCTGAACTTCCCACACGCACATTTTTCGCAGTGTATCAAGGCACTATGCAAACTCCTAATGTATCCAGACAGCAGGGGAATATTTGCAAATGCTCTGAGACAAGCACAAGGCAAGCAAACTTCACAACTCCGGAGTCTTGGTATSAGCAGCAAACACAACTTACAGGACTCATGTAAAACAGCTACAAGAGCGAGCTTAGGAGCAATTAAACTAAGAGCTGATCTCAGCAGGCACCGAGGAGAGGCTTTAGATCAGGCCTGCTGGAAARCCACGCAGACTGCTGCCGAGAGGGGTCAGAGCAGCCTCGGACGCCGTTACCTCTGCTCTGGACTGCTGCTAGGAGGTTGTAGAGTAGGAGTCTCTTCCGTGGCCTCTGAGTTCTCCTCCACCACGTATTTACAAGAACTATCCTGCGAGGTAGACAGTTTTCCTTCCTCACTGAAGAGGAGAAACAAGTTAATTAGCCTGTGGTTTAGTCATAGGGAATTTCACACAATGGGATGAAACTGGGAAAGGGGGAGGGAGGAGAGGGGAGTGTATTTCACATGCAAATGGATTTTGAGTTATGACTGCAAAATGGAGATCAAGCAACATGGCTCTGCACTCTGCRAATATCCAATAACACTGGTGTTTACATCCATTAAAACTGGACTGGAAAGGGCGGGGCAGGAAATACAATGATTACAAGTAAGACCAGAGAGGAAGCAAGGGAAGCGTGTGATGCCTGAAGTGGTGACAGTCACAGTTACTGTACATACCGATAAGATTTCAACACTCTGAAGCCAGAAGTATGCACAAATGGAAGGAGAGAGGTATAAAAATTTCAAGATCCCCTTAGCAACTGGCATCAATACAGTCTGCGTGTGGAAGGGATGAGCAGAGGCAGCAGCCCATCACCACCCTCACTGAACTCCACTGCCTCCATAGGGAGGTGAAGCACCCACGTGAGACAGGCCCAGCAGCAGCCGTGCCCCAAACCTGCTCAGGGGCCAAAACCAAACACAGCTCCATGAAGGAGCAGCACAGCCTCGCTAAGCAAGATACCACCACCAGGAATACTTCAACATCCACTGGCCTCTGCTGACTTATTTTTAAGAGCTCACCTTTCACCAGATCTTTCTGCTTTCAACCCATCCTCCTCTCCTCCCACACCTCCTAGCAGACCTGCGTGACCTGCTCAAATATTCTCTGGCATTGCAAGCTCTTGTTGAGATCCAGTTTTCCAGCTACACTTCTTGCATTTGTCCAGTGTATCAGTTACAGCCTCATGAACCCCCTGCCTGGGTAGTCACTCCCCCACACACCCCTTTTCAAGGAAGAAGGACTCGCACAGGAGGGTTTCTTCTACTGAGATGGATAGTTCTTCCAAGCAACTCAAGACATACGGTTAATTTACTTCAAATTTAAAAGCTGGAAGAGAAACAGATGCTAGGAAACAGCTCTGCAGGARTGAGGAAGGGGCTGCATACCCCAATGCTGCTAATAGGCTCTAATCAAGATGGGGAGAAAAAGCAGCTTCATGAATATAGGCAAAGTGATTTCTGCAGGTCAGACTGATTGTTGCCTCAGATTTTCTGGAGTTCTGATACCAAAWGAACTGGCTAATGACTTAAATGAACACACAGTAGACAGGTGTTTTATTCTGTACAAGTGCCCTGTGTCAACATATACCATATGGCACGTAACCATGTTACAAGGCCATTATTTCCAAATTAAATGCTTCGTATCAGAAGTTACCAAACAGACAAGGTTGGTTTTCCCAGTTATTCCAGAACTGCATGTGGCATCTACAGTCCTGAATGGATTAGACACTATCACCCAAAGCATCCAAGGAGGAACTCGCACATGCCCTGCCTGGGGAACCTTCAACCTTGGACCTCCCTCCAAGTCCCTTGCATGAGGAAGATCAGATTCTCGTTTCAAAACTGGCAATTCTGTGTCAATTTTGAAATGCTTTAACATCAGGCTTAAAAATTACTGCAAAGCCATAATCTCCTGGTCATCTTCRTTTAAAAATCTCCCATTGCTTATTAAAGTGCAATAAGGAAAATGCTCTTTTAGTAACTAGTTAGTTTCCAATAAAGAAGCCAGGTAAGGTTACATCAGCAGTGCTTGTTTTACAGAGTAGGAAGACAGCAAACRGGTATTCTCACCTTTTGAAGACCGCTGTTTCGGTTTTAGCGTCTACAGTAAGGCTCAGTGTCTCCTTCATGCTGCCGTTCATCACYGTTTCAGTTACCTTGTCTGCGTTTTCTGCATCGTCCTCCCCATCGGAGCTGGCCTCCATAGCAACACTGCCTGGGGCTAGGGAGCAAGCAGCACTTCAGTACATGGCTATTTTTGTTTTGGTGTTTCATGAGCAAACAGGGGTCTCTAGACAGCAGAAATCAACTTCTCTGCCACTTCATAGACTTCTCAAATCTCTCATTATGTGGACAGTTAAGTCTTCTGCAGCTCCCCCCATATACATATATACAGCATAAAATCACAAGCAAGACTTGTGTAATAATACAACTGAATTCCTTGAGACAATACAGTAAAGTTTTTRTGCTCGTTACCAAAGCATTTAAGGCCACAGGAATGCTGCCTCCTGCTTTAAACGGGCAAGCTCAAGTTGAGCATGCCTCTGACAAGTCATTTGCTTCATCTGGCCAAAAAGCAGCAGGGAGGCCTCAGGAGACCTGAATTTTAAAGTTCGGGCAGGTCTTTCTCGGGCACAACTCAGCATTTGCATTGCTGCCGTGTACTTACTCTCCAGCTGCGTCGCAAGAGCTGTTACATTTGCACTCAAGGGATCCATAGGCTCTGTATTAGTTTCCATTTCCACGGGAGAATTGCTTCTTAAGGAATCTTTTGGACTTTGGACACAAAATTAAAAATGTATTAGAAACATTTCTGAACAGCGGCATGAAGCTTATTCTTAAACTTATTTTTAGTTCTGTCACAGCTACGAGACCTAGAGCTCAACTGAAGGTGAATGATGCCAAGACTCCTACAAAAGAGCAAAGAAACACCAAGCACAGAACTCAAGCAACACAAAACCCACCAAAACTGAGCTCACTGCTTGCTTTTCTTTTAAGTTTTGTTTGTTTTGATTAAAAGCAGTGRAAACTTCCTGGCTAAATATGGCACATTAAGTATTCTTGGCTCCTCACAATGTTTTCAACATCAACGGTCTTTGTGAGCACATTCTTTGAGACCTGAAAGATCCAAAGACAGTTTTCTGCAGAGAGTGCCAGTGGTTCTCAATCATCAGCAGAATGGACTTTATCCTGCAATTTGCTTTTCTAACAGTAGCTACAGAAAAGCCACAAGTTGTTCATTCTGAAGGAACGCAGAAGAACCATCAAGTTGTGACCATTAAAAACACTCCACAGCTAAATGAAAGCAAGAATGGCAATCCATGGGTTTTACCTTGAAGCTTTTTAAAGCCCAGGCAGACAGATCATAGGCAGAAGCACAGAGGCAACGAGAAGAGAGGCCTCTCGTTTGCTGCCGAGAAGAGAGGCTTGTTCAACTGCTAAGTCCTGGCAGGTGGAAAGAGCCTGTCCTGGACCTCACCTCAGCGAGGACGTGAACTCCGAGAAGGAAGCCCAGCCAGTTTCCTTGGCTGGCATGGGCTCCTCCGTGCTCCACACATCAGACCCGACAGAATCCAGGTTGGCACCGTGGGCGGTCTCCATGGGCACATCGAAGTTCGCTGACCAGTTCGGTGCTAAAAAACAAACAGGCTCGTTAGCAACACACTGCTGCAAATAGCACCAATATCCATAGCCTTAATGCACCAAATCTCTATAAACACCCGCCCAAAAAGCAGCAAAATTCTGTACTATMGACCTAGTGCACATGCAGAAGTTCTCTGTATGGGAAGAAGTGAACACATGGCTTAAAAGGGAAATTCTGCTGGTAAGGCTCTGTAACTGACAGTACTCTGTAAAAGACAGCACAACTTATCTGAAGAACATAAACATTAGATCACAAATGCAGTCCCACTAACCTAAAACCAGCATTAACCATCATCCTCAACACTAGTTTATAAAATAACATATATTTTAGATCTTAAAAGAGTTCTCATCTTAAAGAGTTATTTGCCATTTCCTATGCATGTTTTCCTCCACACAGGTAAGTGAGCAAGCCAACTTAAAGATGGACACAAATTTCTCATGCACTAGCAGCACTGCTCAGTTTCAGAAAAGCTTAAGATCTTTCTGAACTGTAATTACTTGGATTCAAATTCTCAGAGCAAATTTGACTTAAAAGCATCTCATTTAGGATAGGTCAATTCAAAATACTTCACCTACCCAAGGGAGATTTTTTTCATTAACACTTACATACAAAAAAACAGGCTGAAAAGGAAGCTCTGACTAGCAATTAGAAATTCCAACCCAGGCAGATATGGGAGGAGACCCACATGGATCAAAACTTGTTTGACACACAGATGCCAACGACACCAATCTGACAAAAGAAAAGAAAACCCTTAACTTTTCCTTCTATTTTAATTTTCATTTCCTTACAGTCTAGATAAGAAATAGAGGGCTTATTTACCTACAGATGTTGCCAAATAAACTAAAGACAGTTTAACTTACATGCTAAAGCTGACAGAATTGTCTTAAGTGAGTAAGGTTTCCATGCATGAGTCCAATGTACATCTTTAACATAGGAATTACACATGAAACAAGACAACTAATCTAGGCTAGTCTACTTTAAGTCTCTTAAAAGGCTCTATAAAATAAAAGTTGGTCTGAAAGGCTTCCAGTAAATATATTAGTATTAAATTCGAAGCTTACTAGCCTATGTGGGCATTCCAAACAGGTGTTTTAAGTTGCATTTTTTTTTACTCCCCTATCCCCTTCCCTTGAAATAGGGAACCTGAATTTTGGAGAGACTGCTATAGCCTTAGTGCTACCCAATACTGGCATATTCTCAATAGTCTTTACAATTATAAAACTTAGTTTTTATTTTTCAGATAGCTGGAATAAAAAAAGAAATTGAAGATGACTACAGAATAAGCACTGCTAGATCTAAGTCTTGCTGTAACTCTGAGCAGTTGGGATAAGAGCTACCTACGTTCGTTTAAGTCTACTTCCATTTTGTCCTCTGTATTGGTATGCGATTCAAACAAGTCTTGTTTCGTTCCATCCTCTTCTTCAGAGTCTGTACTTTCCTCACTGTCCGTACTGCCCGAGCTTAAAATACAAAGAAAATGGTTAATGTTCTGTGATTAGCATCTGACCCTGGGCAGCTAAACCCTGGCAAGTTACAGAATGAAGAGAACTAACAACTAATAGATTAATCAAGTTACACTTTATTAGCTGCTAGCCACCCAACCTGCTTCCCCTCCCCGCCCAAGAAACACTTCAGTTTTAAACCYTAAGGTTTTAGATTTGTCATTTCAATGGTAGAGAAGTTTTGCCTTCCCTCTCACAAGGRAGCAAAAACCCACAGATTCTTTGTCACTGCTGCCAAGCAAAAGGCAGCAGGAGAGCAAGGAGTCAGACCAGCATTATCTGGAAAGATCCCGTCACCATCTCTGTGCTAGACAGGAGCACCAAAGGCAGCGCCCAAATCCAAAGTCGTTCCAGCCCATTCAACAAGATGTAGCTCAAGTTACTGTGAAATCCAACAACCAACTCAAGCGTCCTGGGACGCAGGCCAGCCACCCACTTCCGCAAACCCTCTGGAAGTCTCTCCTCCTGGAGAGCACCTCCGGCACCACCAACACAAGGCAGCATCTCAAGAGGACGTCTTTGAGCCACATCACACGTGCGGCCGTGACCGCTAAGCACAATCCTGCACAGCAGCTGCAGCCCCCCAGGAGCCCCGAGGGRCCCGGAGCCCCGAGCAGGCAGCGTTGCTGCTGCTGCTGCCTTCTGCAAATGGAGCAGGAGAGCAGCGCTAGGCCCATCCCTCTAGTCACCTCTCCAGGAATATCTGCAACACCATGCCAGAAAAAAAAAAAGACCTTAAGAATTATGAAAAATGAAGTTATGAAAAGTTATGCCAGAGAGCCACTGTGTGGACAGGCAACTTGAAGCAGTTGTGCTCAAGAGTGAGGGCTGCCTTTGGCGCAGTCGGGAACGAGAGGAGGGGGACAAAAAAAGAAAGCTACCTGGAACGCCGCTGGGATTCTGGTGCAAATGTAATGTGTTTTTCTTCCCAGATATCCTCTTCATCAGAGCCACCATCATCAAATTGCTGTATCCGCTCCTTACAGCATGCCTCAAACAAGGCTATATTACCCTAAATAAATATATACAACATTATATACATGGACTCTATATCTATCATTAACAGCTTCTATTTTGGTAAAAGCTTGGAAACATGCAATTATTCCAAAGAGACTCTTAACCCAGTGAACACAGTTATYTCCCCAAAGCAGGAAAAAAACCAGAAGGCCTTGATAATTTGTAGCTTGTAAAACAAGCCCTCAGTGATGCTTGTTTTAGCACCATGCTACAGGAGCAAGGCAAGGGAGCTATTCCCTAAAGATGACAGGATGGACAAGGAAATATAACCACCACCACTACCAGAACATTGGGATTGTAGGGAAGTTCGAGGCAGCAGTTGTCCCCGCCAGAGGCAGGAGCTGCGAGGGCAGAGGCCCATACTTACACTCTCATTTGTATTGAGGGTGAAGTTGATATCTGACACTCGATCAAAAGAAACACTGCAAAGAAGAAAAAAGCAGATATGTACGCAATAAAACAGAAAGAGAGATGATGTAGACACAAAGACACTTAATTTTCAGAAACCTTCAGTTTRAGATGCCTCAAGCCTGTGATTAGCTGTGTGAACACAGCAAACCTCAAACACTGTGCTGTTTGGAACGGAAACAAAAGGCAGCAATTACACTGCAAGTGTTTGAGCTGACCACTGACTGACAGGACACATCTCGACATGCTGCACAGCTCCACACGAGCAGGCCCGACTTCTGCTGATCAAGTCCACCACCCTAAGATGGACCGGCTCAGCAGCGGGCAAAGTGAAACTCCAACTTCCATTCCTTAAAGTCCAGACATCTTGGTTATTTTAAGCCAACTGAACAGCAGTCAGTCTCCACCCAAACTGAATGCAACATATTAGGTCTTAAAATTCTCTTATATTAAAACATCCAGAGTTTCACCAAATGAAAAACAAATATTAAAAACTGCATTAAGCAAAGTATATATTTTAGGGAAGAAGCAGGAGGAGAAAAAGGTGGCAAGTTCTCCCAGTCCTTCCTTCTACAGCCCATGGAGTGCTGTGTTCAATTCCTCCTGTAACTCCCACTGTATTACAGGGCAGCGAGGAAACCAGGCGAGTGATCTACGGGAYGGCAAACGTTAACGCTTTGATATCAGTCAAGTTCTGACTCCATCACTTTGGCAACCTCCTGATACAGCCAGTTATGGGACAACAGCACTGAGCTGCAGGGCCAGTTTCCGCACAGCAGCGRGCAGGTTCCAGCCGCAGCAGATTCCCGCGCAGAGAAGCACCCACCTTAAGGTGGAAGGCGTTTCCCAGGCAGCTGAATGGGGCTGATACACCCGCCCCGATACAGCCGAGCGGGGCACCAGCCACTCGCCATGTACCACAGATGGGCCTCGGCTGTGCTTCGGGAAGCTTCTCCAGCAGGATCCTACACCACTGCAGGCCTGACCCTGGCAAGGGGGTTCTGATCCTCCACTCCTCCCAGCCCCAACACATCCCAGGTTAGAGAGATTTTCCTTTCTCTCAACTCAGCCGAGACTGTGCTCGTTTCTCCTTCACTCACTCTGATCACAGGAATGTGTCAGGCCTGCCTTGCCTTTGGGCACAAAGGTAGATTTACGATGCCCTTCCTTGCTGTTTACTGGAGAAAAGGGCACTCATGGACACATTGTTCCTGCTGCCTTTTCCAGGTGAACTTGGGAGCAGAGCTACAGCTGTGCTGTGGCACAGACTCAGAGAGGGAAGAGCTCGCAGGCACCTGAGGGAAGGGCTGAGGTGCCCCAGCCAGGCAGTGGCAGCGCGCGACTCTGCRGGATGGAGCTCTGCCCTGGTTACTTATTCACAGGCACCTCGTTCTCCCGCTGGCACAAGCCGGGCCCGCGGGGAGGACAACAAGCTGCTGCTCGGCGAACAGTCAGGGCACCTGAGCACCCAGTCCATTAATGCAACACAGCGACAGGACTCGCTGGTGACTGCTCCGCAGCAGTACAGGCTGCTGTTCACCATCAAAACACAAATACAAAGTAAAAACCCCAGCGTAACGTTATACTCACTTGCCGATGTCATCTTGATCAGCAAACTTCTCATCGTTGAAGCCAAACTGGTCAATAAAATTGGACGTCATTTGTTGCATCTGATAATCAGAAAAGGCCTGGCAACCCCAGGACCAACGACAGTGATATAATGATTCTAATAATACTCTAGATACTATTTGCCCATTTTGCTCCAAAGTAATAAGACTCTCTCATCTAGACATACAGAACAGGAAAAGGATTTGTCTGAACCTTTACAGTTTAAGAGGTGACACTGACTATGCACCTGCTCACCCAAGGGAAAGCCAGTCTAATAGCAGCTCTTGATAAGAAAGTTAAATCTCTAGTCAAACCACATCTCCATCAGCACCTTTCCAAATGCACCCCGGAGAAACAGGACTAAAACTAAGTTATCACCTGGTCCTTAGAGACTTTTAACAGTGGTTATTTCCGTGCATAAGTCTATCAAGGCAGGCCTGGTCTAGCAGCCATCTCTCTGCTGGAGAAATTCAGGGCAATTTAAGAAATGTAATGGGCTCGTCCTACCCTACAGCACAAAGCAGAGCCCTACGAGTGCCACTCACCAGTGTAAACAAACTAGGTACGAAGCTCACAGCATGAGCAGGCTATGAATCCAGCATGCTGAGTCACAGCTGTCCGCAATACCTAAAATACAGCTAGAAACCACTAACTCTGCCTAGACTCAAGACAGGAAGTTCTACCCTGTCCTCTCAATGTATTCTCTATAGAGATTTTAAATAGGTGTCTCTAGAGAGAGCAGTAGGGCAACGTATCTTCCCCTTTGCTTGCTCCAGGCCTCGCCGAGGCTGGTGGCCGGCAGAGGGAAGCGCGAGGGCTGGAAACGCTGATTGCAGAGCTGATAAAATGCAAGCGCGATCCTTGCCTGAAGCAAAGCTTCCAGGGCTACAGAAGGTAAATACTACTGGCACAAGGAATCCTACATGCCAACAGCAGGCTGAAGAAAAACTTCAGGCTAGCTTCAAAGTTTCCTTAGAGGTCAGATATATAACTGCTCTGGAGGAAAAATTTTAAAAAGTCCYCCACTAGGGGCTGAAGGGTCTTCATCAAAACCCAAAGAGTATCAAACTGGATTTGGATGCTGCAAGAAYGAAATCCCAGCAAATGTAATTCAGCACAGGCAGAAGTTACTTTTGACAAATAAACCAAAGGTTCCTAAGTCAGTATTTCGATCCTACACCCATATCCTAACAGGGGCACTTAAACCTCGAAAGCCGACCTCCTTGCCCGCTCCTGCCAATACTGGCCCAACCAGAGTACCCTTAATGAAGTCAGAAACAAGTTTATGAATGAGTTTGTGCAACCAGATCATGCTCTAAGCAACTTCAATACAATTCCACCAGCTGTTCACCCTGTCAAACGCTAGATTTCACTATCCTAGCTTAAAAATAACCTCCAGGACAAGAGTGACGAGCTTTAAGGGTAAGGTGGTAGGCCACCTGCAGCAGAGCAGCTACGTGCCAAGACACACGGTGGTTAAGGGGTGCATGAAAAGCACAGACACATTTAGAGATCTTACTTTCTCACCAGAGCTGCTACAGAAGGCACCCAACCTATCAAGTCTGTACTCAGGTGCATCTCACACACACAACATCACTGAAACAGACAGAAATGGAACAACAGTCTCAGAGCAGGAACTACCACCCCCCTTACAATGACTTTTAGACTTTATCTTCTACTGCTTTTATAAAAGGTCAGTCTCTTTGCTCTAGAGCACATAGACACAGCATAGGCTTTAGTTAAAGCTAAAGGTTACAGCAAGGTTTTGGTTAACGGCCAAGTGCCACCGGCGCCCGCTCCTTCCACGCAAAGGGGACAGGCGAGGGGGACACCCCGCGCGGAGGGGACAGGGACACTGCACAGATGGCCGCCTCCTCCATCGATAAGGGCAGCAGTGTGCCGTGGKATCCCGCCACCCCGAAAGCACTCGAGAAACAAACCATAGCCCAGGAAACCTGGGAAGAGGCTACGAAGCCCTCAGRCCCTCAAGCTGGACACAGCTTACRTCCAAGCTTTCAGACTGGCCGATCCCCAAATTCTCTCGGCCATCAGATTTGAAGTGAGTAAAGGAGCAGAGATCTGCACACACAGCACGACCAAGGGCTAGAAATCCAAAGTCACTCCAAGATGCCACAGCCTGGGTGAAAGGCCACATCTCCAKGTGCCACAGGAGAGCCCACAGGAATGGCTTTTCTTTTGGACTTCAGATTATTTGCTTGCAACCCAAAGTGACCAGCTCCACTGAAGAAGTATCTTCACAAAAAGAGAAGCTGAGGCCGTTAGATTTCAGCTCACCTGCTGCAGGGAGGAGTCCTGAGAGAAGCCGGTTTCTTTAAAGTCGATTTCATCGTCGCTGGACGAGTGGATGTGGCAGGTAGTGACCTAGGCAAAGGAATCAAGACAGGGGTTTATGTGAAAGCAGCTCAAGTACACATGCAGTATTTGGCCTAACCTTCCATTTAATCTCAAAAAAGAAAATTATTCAGTTTTTCCAGCTGCCTTGCCACAGAAGCGTTTCAATAGCAGCATCCCATGCGAGAGTCACAGAAGTCTTGGGTTACACACAGAAGAATGGTATGCAGAACGCATGAATGATAAAAAGAAACTGTCCTGGATATGTATAGCACTTACAAAAAGAAAGTTCAGACTTGTGGATGGGGGGTGTGTGTGTGTGTGTGTGTGTGTGTGTGTGTGTGTGTGTGTGTGTGTGAAGAAATTCACCCTCAGAAAGAGAAAGGAAAAGCTTTAAAAAGACACACACACACACACACACACACACACACACACACACACACAATTTACTTGCAGAAGTAAACCTCAAGTTGCAGCAACAAAGGCCACTTTAAAGATGGCCCTGGACCAGCTGGGTTTCCTGATGGGGACAGTTTGTCCAGCCGTGCTGCTCCCTAAGCAGCACTGCCTCCCACAGCACGAGAATCCGCAGGGAGCCTCAGCCAGGGGGACAACAAGCTCAAGTGCCACCAGCTGAGCCTCGACACCTACACATGGAGCACCAGGTGTTCCTGCCAGGGACACTGTTCTCGCAGGACACCACTACAGATGGGGGACACTCGCAGCACAGGTACCTTGTGCTTCTCTGCCCATTTTCTCCCTTCCTTCGGGGCAAGGCTTGGTTCAGTGCTTGTTCATTCTGCACCTCACACATCTGCCCCCGTCCTGCCCAGCGATTTGCTCACCAGGGCAGGCGGCTGTCGGGCAGCACAGACAGCGCTTCAACACAGGCTGCTGCTACAAAGCCGTGACAACAGCAGTGCATCAAGTACATCAAACCTTGCAAAGCCTGCACCTTTTAATGCAGTTCTGTAGGGCTCCATCACAACTCAGGCAATCCTCGAGCCCCAAGTGCTGGCATACTTTTGGAGAACAAATATTAATCTATCTGCTCCTTCTAAAATTGCGGTTTGCTGCAGAGAGATGTCATACACACACACACACACGCAGAAAGGACACTGTGGATGAGGCGCTGCTTATTCAGTCTCAGGTGCAGTGAAGATGCCCATCCCAGGCCCCTGCCATTACTGCTGCMACAGGAGCAGTAGCTAAACATGCCATTTCCTCCCCCGGGCTCTCTGCAAACCAGCAGGACATGGAGCCATCACACAGTGACTTTCTGCTTTTCTTTCCTGACAGCTGCTGCAGCACCAACACGGCGGCAGAACCCTCCAAGCATTACTCGACCCAAGCCACCATTACGGTTATGGAAGAATTATCCCAACACTTGGAGGGATGGGGTGGAAATCAGAGGACAAGGACCCCTACAAACTCCAGCAACTTTAGTTAGGTGAGCAAGCCTGCTCTTCAGAGCTGGCTCTTCCCAGCATCCTGCGCTATCGGGCACTGGCGCACTCAGAAATATCCTAATATAGGGCATTTTCAGTCCCATTTCCTGCAGTTACCAARGGGGATTTTCCCACAGGAGAAAGGAACGATGTGGCTATTTTTAGGGGAATTAGGAACAATCTGTCTTGTTGAGCTGTATTTTTAGGCTGAGGGGAGGTAGATTCTTCTTACCTGGTATTTATGTACTTCATAAGCATTCAATATCATGACTAGTATTACTGGAAGGACACTATAAAAAGCCTTTTATTTGAAAAAAGTCTCTTGGGCAAACCTCATTACTACAAACTGTRTAGTGCTCTTCACTACAGCAGTGCTGTTAAACACATCTTGCCTAAAGATAAGGGGAACAATTACCCCACATTTCACTTGCCGCTGTATTTTTAGCTGTTAAGTAAGTAGGTAAGCTTAGAAAAGTAGTGCCTGCTGCTTGTGTCCATTAATAGCAGCGGAAGCAAAAATAAACTCCCTGGGAAGCCTGCTAACTGCCTGAAGAGCCGCGACTGAAGCGAGCACGTAGCAGAACCAAGCCTGCAGTTAGTGTTGCTTCACACGAGGTAACCTGAACTTGTTAGAGACACCAAAAGCCTCAAGTGGGAGAGAGTGGGGCGAGAAGATGAAAGGGATAAAGTGCCAGTCCTTGCATGTGGCACCCSAGGAGCACCTACTGTGCTCCATTACAGCAAAAGCTCTCGTTGAGAGCTGAAGGACTGAAGTGTTGAAAACGCTCAGGAGAGTCAATAGCTTTGGACAGCAAAATGTGTTTGTGCATTTTGTATGTGAACTCCCCATGGGCAGAGGTTGGGTGGCCCGGGCACTGCACACCCAGCGCGCTCAGTAAAGACCGAGCGCAGCAGCAAATCCCGCCTGTTGTTCCACGTGCTCAGCAACTCGCTTGGGACAGGGCMGCCGTCCCCAAGGGAAGCAGCTCTCCTTGTACACCTTGCTCCAAGAACAAGGCAAATCCAGGGAAGCTTTTGTCCTGGCCATGCTGGGAGTCTGCACTTAGACATTTTTCAGATGTAAACACAAACATTTTTCACCCCCAAGGTGATTTAAAGAACTAACGAGAGGAGTCACACACTCAGTCTCTAGAGCGTGATCTACGGAGACCTGAGCACAGGGTGAGCACAAGCACCGAGACTGTGGGGCTCCCCAGTGGCACCTGCCACACAAAAACTGCCACTTACACTCAACTCCCTAAAACAAGTGGTGCTTTTTTTTTTTTATTATTTTTTAAAACATCTCCTGTCACATTTTAGTGCCTATTAGCATTTATCTTTGAAATATGCACGAGTTATTTCTCATGAATCTCGTCTCACAAGAGCAGAAGTGAGTTCAAAACCAGTCACTGTATTTCAAAGCGAGTTTCAGACAAGAGAATGTGTTCTAATGCTTTATATTTCCATTCATCTGAATTTTGTGGAGCTTTAAGGGAAGTCTACTGTTAAATAAGTCCAAACAACAAGGTATCTTAAAAGTTAAAAAAGTGATATAATGTTATAAAGTATAGACCAGCTTAAAATTCAGCCTCTTTAGATGAGGTTTCTCTTCACCTTGGTCCAGCTGAAGAAATTTCTAAACAAGAGAAAAATTCATTACATACAAAAAATTAAATATTACTCTAAATATTTTAAAATTATGAAATAAGTTACATATTAAACCTAGTATATAAAAATGCACTACTGTATATACACTGTACAGGGAAAAGTAAAACCAACTTCTGCCCTCGGGAGCAGACAGGAGGTTTTAGCGGAGCCCCTGCAGCCAGGACAGCCACCCTCCTCCTCCTTGGCGGCTGCCCAGAAGGAGCTACCCAAGCCAGGGAGCTCCTGCAAGGTCCTCCTGGGAAGCACTGGGGACGCAGCCACAGTTAAGGAGGAAACTCAGAGACCGAGCAGCTTAGCTGCTAGACGCACTTGCTGCCACCATCTCCAGAGTCGCACGGCAGCTGGAAAGACTGAAGCCAAGGCTGGGTTCCCAGCAAAAAGAAACAGGGGTCCCAGGGAAACAGTAACAACTTGCAAGCTTACCAGGTCTACTGTATTCCTTTTATTAGTTTCTCCTAAAGAGCTTGTGCAGAATGTTTCCCACCGCTCTCTGACCTCTTCTGGGAGCTCTAGGACAGGAAACAGACAGAAATATTTATATATATTATTGACAGGGAAGCATCACTTAGCTTTTAATTGGTCTGCTCTGAGAAGGACTACCAGAACTCAAGGATCCTACGTATCCTCCCGAATCCCTATGGATTCCTCTGCCTAGAAAGCAAGGCCAAGCTGAACAGGTTGGTATCTCTTCCGACGTGTTTTAAAGATCGTTGCTACTATTCAGGCAGTTTGGAGGAAACAAATGTATGCTTAATAGCTGATTTGAAATAAAATGAGTCAGAAGTCAACACTTTCTTTTTACCCCAAACCTGCCTTTTACTGCAAGTACGAGCCATTCCTCCCCAAAGGGCCAAGGWGGGCAGTAGGGAGGAGCGGAGCCGGCACGAACGCTACCTTTGAGGAGCTGCTGGACCTGCGCGCTGTTTGGCCCCTTGTCCGTGCTGTGCACGATGCAGTTGGCGATCCTCGTCAGGTGGCCCATGTAGCCGTGCCGCCTTCCTCCTTCGGCCCTGCAGCGGGGTACAGCCCGTCACACCGGCGCCGCTCGCAGCGCTTGGCACGTTGCATTACAGAACATTATGCTGGAGCCTACGTTGGGTATTTTGTGCAACTCCTAAGGCTTCTCCAGSTGAACACTCACAGAAACACTCCACAGTTTAAGACAAACAAGTTGAGCAACTCTAAGCTAGTTTAGAAAGCTAGCAAGCACATAAATCACCACCAAGGAAAGGCAGAGTATTTGAATACATTCCTTCTGGTTTTCCTTTTTTTTCCCCTCTTATGGGGAAGCTAGGCAGCACAGTCAGAGCCAGACTGTGGATTAATTAACAGCAAAGCCTTAAYTATGCATCAAAACCAAGAACCACACATACATCCCTCAGCTGTGGAAAAGTGTATTTTTCAACACTAATTCCCCAAGCTTAACTGGAGCTGTAAGCCTGTCAAAAACAACACTCTGCATTCTAATATTGTAGAAGTCTCCAAGTTATTTATAGTATACAGTCATAAAGTTATGACAAGCTGAAATTTCAAGTCAGGACTATGGGCTACTGCTTTCCTGAGGCATACAAGTAACATTTAAGTTCCCACTAAAGGGYACAAGTACTACGGCAGATGGGATAATTATCTGACAGATCTGCCTTCTAGAAACCAAAAGCATCAGTTTGCAGACTAGGTGGCCACAACCAGCTGGAACTGCTCTAGATCTAACCAAACTCCAAACCTGGGCTGAACTTCTAGCAGTTGGCTACAAACCAGTCAGACATTTGTTATCTTTCCCCTCCCATCAGTAAATCAGTCTACCAGTATATTCTAGCAGAAGAAAGTTTCTAGAGCTGCTAGAAATAGTACTAAGTGATGAAATGCAAAAGCATAAAGASTCCCAAACACACACACCTCAACAAAAAAGCCACTCCACTTTTCCAGAACAAACTAGGTTAAAAATCTCCCCTCCCTTATGATCTTAGGCTTCAGTGTGTTCAGAAACCCCTTGCAGCCCCTGACTGGGGAGCCTCGCAAGTGCTTCTCTGCCCCTGCCCCTCTCAGAATTTGAGGCACATCCCACTACTATCCCCAACTTCACACAGCTGTAAATGAGAAACAGAAGGTCTTAAGAACAGCAAGTTCAATGTGAACRAAAGTGCTAATTCAAAGCTAGAATCCAAGTGCAAGTCTGTTGTTTTTGGAACTTAATTATTGCATTTATCATGCATAAAATGGTAATTCCATACTCCACTAAGAATTAAGTTGAGAGCAGCACTAAGTATACAGTATACTTTAGTAAGCAGCTCCTTAAAAATGGCATTTTAAGGCAGAGGCAAGAGAATATTAGCTGGTCCCATTCTGAACTAGTCAAATATGAATATCAAGTCATATCTGACATGGACCTTAATTGCAGGAAACAAAATCTGCTACTCACTGTTTCTTCTCATTCATCTCCCATGCTTCAAGTATTCGTTCTACTAATTGGCACTTAAGGAAGAGCTATAAGGAAAGATTAAAAAACATTTACTCAATGCTTTAAAAATAAGGTGGATATTATGCATTTCAGGATTGCTTTTAATAAATACCAAGAATCTTCAGGCAAGTTTTAAGTTCATGAGAGATTCTTTTATTAGGGGGTTTAAAGTGCAGGAGCAGTGGTCACACAGATGCCAAGCTCAAGCYTAAGATCCAAGACTCTACTAGGTTCACTACTTTTTACTGGAGCTGCTAAGCTACACTATAGTGCAGCTACTGAAATAGCAGTGTTTATCCACAAAAAAAATAAAAAGGGAGCTCTCACGTAAACTTGCAGCTCTGCACACACACTTCCTTTGAGGGCACGGAAAAGCAAACCCAAGTACCTACAGAACCTTCAGATTTAACAATGGGAACAGACATATTATCAAAACCCCCAAAATATTCCTGTGTGCCCTATATACATAAACCACACCACGTTTTTACTTTGCATAAGAACTGCAGTGCATCAGACAGCAGTATATAATAACAGGTAGTACATGCTGGGAAGGAGACATTCAGGAAACACCCGCTGAAACCACAGCTTACATGTTTCAGTAAGAGATTGTCGCCAGTGGAGTCCTGATCTGTAATTGTGCCATTTTCTGTGCTTTCAAAAGGACTTGCAAGGATCAACGCAATACAGATTTCTACTTGAGTATGCAAAAAGTTATTCCACGTATATTTGAAGAACATGTCCTGAAAAACAAGTTCAACACAGTTCACACAAATCAAGAGCTCCTCATTAGCCATAACCAATAATCTCATCCCACAAATTATTTGACTGACTATGTATAAGCAAGTTGTTCAAATTATACAAATAAGCCCTCTGCAACAGGAAACTTGTGACCTAGAACAACTTCCAATGAACACCATCCACCTAATCCTCCTCTTAGTCCTTCACAGTTSTCCACTTACATAGGAAAAATATTTTAAAGCATCTCGTCCACTTTTGTTCGACTCTTTTTATTGCAAGCTCCAATGACTGTCACGAGCAAAGAGCGACAGCTACAGAAACAAGGACAATGACTGGAACGGTACTTGATGGAACAAGCAACATCTCTGTCAAAAACTGGGTTAGAGGCTGCAATCCTCTCCCAAGGCTTCTGGAGGGATAGCATCCTCCCCTAGGGCGGGTTCCCGGCACTAGACCATTGCTCTTCCTCTCCAAGTCGCACAGCACAGGCAGACTGTTGTTCCAGCAGCAAATGCTGCAAACCTCCAAGAGGTTGATATGGCCCTCGTTACATCCAGCGCCCCACTTGAAGCTTCCAACAGAAGCGTGTTAAACATCACTGAACTTTGTTTAACGACAACTTGTTCAGAAACAGAATTCTACATTTCTTGAGATGCTCTAGTGTGCACGTTCCAGACAGTGTTGCTGGGTATCTGTTAACTGACACATTCACATGAGCTTTCTGATCAACCTAGAAGAGGCTTTCAGCAAACAATGTGCCCTGCTATACTCGAGGCAGGAGGCGGGAAGGGAGGTCCTCCAAGTAACTGYTTTTTTGCTAAGCTCACATGTATAACAGGCTGCAAGTTAACTGTGCAGCCACCTTCTTTCAAAGAGGTTTGAAAGGCACCACGCAAGGGAAGCTGACCCTGTATGGCGCCACACTGAAATACCTTTTGGTGTCTTGTGCACTATGAGGCCAGGAAAAGAGGTTTTGATGGAACAGCTTAGGAAAAGGATGAGAACTGCAGGGAAGCTTTGAACTGTGGCCAAAAATTTGAGAGCACAGAGATGAAAAACAAGCTTGCTAAGGAAAAAAAGCTTTGAAAAATCACATCTAGGAGGGGTAAAAAGCTGTTCAGGTGATCAGAGGAAAACATTGACTTCAAATAGACCAAACTGAAGAGTAAATTCAGGTATTCAAAGTTCTCAAACAGCACATCAGAAGTCCCAAAACAGAAATTACCTGAAACTTTTGTTGAAAAACAAACTATACATCTGCAGTGACAGAGAGATTTCACAAGATCTTAATTTCAACTCACAAAAATAAAGGTAGCATAAAGCTCTTACCAGTATAACTCCTATGCTGTTCAGCTCTATCAGCTCCTGATTCACACTGCTTGTATTTGTTTGTAATAGGCTAGATATTAATCTAATCACATTTAAACGTGTGTTCCCCACAGGTGGATCCAGAACACCCCACGTTGTCTTCATGACACTTTTCTGGAAGAGAGGCACATGAAAACCATTAATACTTGAAAGCCAACTCAGCATTACAACGCTCAGTTAGAGTAGTAGTTAAAGATATTTACAGCCAGACCCTCAGTACCACTTACCTTAGCCTGCAAAAAAATTGCTTTTCATTCTGAATACTAGAGCTTATTTTAACTAGATTGGGARCACTGAAACAGTTGGCCTCGTGAAAGCAAAAACAACTTAAAYTGAGTGGCAGCTAAGCACCTACTTTGAGATCCCTTTCTCACCCACGTTAAAAAGGAATTTGGAAATATTTGTATTTCTCAATGGTTAATCCATGCACAGGTGTACTCCACATAACCACAACATACATAAACAGTTAGGTGGACATTCCTTTCAAGATACTATTACCCCCTAATAAGTCTGACACGGTGAACTTTAAACAATTCCATGAAGCACTAAGCTTCTCTGGCATGTTATTACAAAGTCGCTTCCAATCCTTGGAGAGCATTTCTTTCCAGGCACCGCTTCACATGTTATCCTCCTGAACATTCCAAAAACCGCTTCAACAAATCATCCCCTGAAAGAGTCCTGGCTTGGCCTGGGCACTAGTGGTTCCTCAGAAGGCATCCTGGAAAAGCCTGGCATGCTGCCTGTTCATTCAGGCCATTCCCTGCCCGAGGCAAGCTTTGGGCATACCCTTAACACAGGCTCATTTACCTACTGCTCAGAACCACCAATACAGAGTGGGTAACTTCACTAGAGGATTTACTAAAATACTTGGTACTTCCAAGCAGCAGGAAACTTTCAAGCTTCTGGCCTATCCTTTACTAGCATATAGATCCATTTCTTGTCATGCTGTTGCAGTGAAGTGCAGAAAAATCATCCACTCATTACTTCTTAATTTATTTGGAAGCTTAACTCTCTTCTCTAGGCTAAAACAATTCCTTTTTACCATCTTACTTTCCTCCTCCTCCACCACCTTTTGTCTTTAAAGATTATTGGCTTTAACCACTGCTTTTGCTCTGTCCCACAGGCCTTTCTCCCTCAGGGACTGCAGTCCCCAAACTGAGGGGCAGGACCAGGTCAATCAGGGTGCAGATCACCTATCCAAGTGGACTACAGGTAAAAAAAGTCTTTATTTATGCAGCTTGTTGTACTTGTCTCATACCACAGCATGTCATGGATACATCATTAATCATAAAAAAGGGGGCATTAAAGACTTGGCCACATCTGGAGCGCAGGGCACACACGGGACACTCGTCTGCTTGGTCACAGTCACAACACCTGGGACTGCAGGCCCACACCAAYAGTGCATGAGGCCCTGCACCACTGCAGCAACGTGGGCCACTTGTCCCACTCGGACAGGGTTTTCAAGCAGAAAACACCCCCTGCCCCAGAGAAGCCCAGTCATCAGTTTGCTTAAACAACCCCTTCTTTGGGCAGCTACCAAACCTGTCAACTCCCTTTTCCTTTAGCTCAAGTTTAAGCGACCAATTATTATGGAGTTTTATGATTTGTGGTGTTTTAAGATCCATCTGCATGATCACCTACCTTGACCCTCTTCAGTAAACCTCTCCTCTGTACTGTCTTTCAGAAGATGTTTTCATGCCCTCTAATAACCACTCTTCTGATCTATCCACACTTATTTTTGGCACACACCTGTTTAACTTTGAAATATATAGAAAATACCTTGTCCTTGCTTTCAGAAAAAGGCAATTGCTTCAAGGCAGTTTTGCCAGACGAACAAAGTTCAAGCTGGAAAAGCAAGTCAATTAAAGCAACAATGGGAAAAAAAAACAACAACAACAACAACAACAACAAGAACTTGTGACAGGGACAACTGTAATGAATTGCAAAACTCAAAACAGGCCAGGAAGGAGCTTTGTTTCTTGCCTGGAAGTTGCCAGACAAGCTAAGCTCTGCTTGTCATTATCCTCTGTCTGAACGAGGCTGAACTGCAGCAAGAGTCTCCATTTTCGGCTGCAACACAAGATTTCACTTACTTTTGGAGGCTCAAGTAGGAGTTCATGGAAGGATGAAAGTCGTGCTTTTATGGCTTCTAAAACACTTTTATTGACTGAATACGTTGAATGGCTCATGCCTGGAGGACAGATCTCTATATGGCCTTCAAATCTAACACACACAAACAAAGTATGATAGTTAATATCAATGTCAGTTCTAAAACGTTACCAATATAAGACTGAAAACGGGATTGCTCTGAAGGCACATGAATAGAAAAAGCTACAGATAAGTGAATTAACAGTGGAATGGTACTTTCTAAACAGTAGCCATAATAATTATAGGCTTACTGTGCTCCTAACCTCCAGTATGGATTTCAGCAACATCATATGCATTTCCTTTTTCAAGGCAGAAGATTTACTGGGCTATTCTGAGCATCATCAAGAAACTGAATGTACCACAGAACGATCAAAGCTCTGCCCACTGGTTTCTCCAGCTGAAGTTGTAGTACAGTGCTCATTAACTTCACGTCAAAGATAAAGAAAAATACACTACTGAAGTTTAACTAGTCTGATCTTCTAAGTGGAGCTTAGGTTAGTTTGAGGAAGAAGCACAGAAAGGCCAATCACTTGCTGCAGATAATGCCAGTAGCTATTGCTTGTTTGCTCTTACTTCTACAGCTGTAGAAAGCCACAGAACTGGTTGAGTCATTTAACACACAGGAGTCCCTTGAGTTCCTGCTCAACAGCTGCCCAGCTAAGTCACACAGGTACAGCCTAAACAAGAGTAAGTGGCAACACTTACGTCGGTCGTCTAGTCTCGAGCAAGGTCAGCAGTATTTGGATTGCACTGACTATTGCAGATTCATTTTTTTCTTTATGAAAAATATTAGACAGCAGCTGCTCTATGATTTCTTGCCTGAGAAGARAAGCATTGATGTCAGACACAGCACTACTTAGGATGCAGCAGTTAACAAAATTAGCTACTGTTTTCCCATGTAAAACTTAAAAGGGAGAAGAGAAATTAAAGTCTGGGCTATTTCAAGCTAGCAGGTATCACTAGACTAATCAGTCCTATCCTCCCTGCCCCAATCATATCTTCCTGCTCACACTCTCATATTAGAATTTTGCTCTGGATTACAAATCCTATAAAAACTGTCAGTTTTCAGTCAGATCAAAAGAATTTTAGCTTGCCACACAAACACAGAGCTGCCAAAACGAAGCAGGGAGTCAGACTACCCTCTGTGATAAGAAGTTAGATAAACTTAAACTAATCCCGACCAAAGCCCAAGTCTCCCATGTGTACTCTGCACAGTACTGAGCTGCCATCCGCATGCCTGATCCTACCAACTCCACTGGGCCGGGAATTATCTTCACAGAGGCAGAACCCCACAGGCTGACCCAAACCCACCAAGCGGTAACGGAGCGCAGCCACGCGGGCTCCCTGGACCTGCCGCGCTGTTTCACATCACACACACAGACAACGAGCAGCCAGAGCTGGCTAGGCAATGCAGAACTTCACCTCTGACTCTTTTAAAGGCCAAAAGGTGAACACCGCTATTTTAAAAACCTTAATACAAAACAAGTTGCTCAACCAAGCAACTTACTTTTCTAGACTTGCGAGCAGCGGATCTGGCTCCGTACTGTTCTGTACTTGTAACATCTGGTCTCTGCTTAGACGAATGATTTCACAGAGTGACTGCGACGCATTCGAATGCCTCTGGAACGGAAGAGAAGAGCTTGTCACAAGAGGACAGCAGCACACTGAGCCAAAAGTCTGCACTGAAAGAGCTGAAAGTTTTTGCTCAGATGAGATTCTTCCCTGAAGAGAAACATTTCTAAAGCAATAACTTGATTCTATAATTAAAACTTAACAAGCCATGGAAAGACCTGAGGCAAAAGACTGAAATGCATTTCTGGTGTGGAAGCACCAAAACTAATATTGGAGACAGATCTTCAAACAGTGCTGAGTCTGCATCCAGACTAGGATTTCACCAGGGTCTGAAACAGTGCAAAACCTGAGCTTAAAGGAGAAATCAGCTTACTGTAAGCTTTCTGCAAGCAGAAAACGGGAAAACTATGAAGCTTTGAAGCTAAAGAATTGCAATTTGCTGAACAGAGAGACCCAGAGGATCGCAACAGTACTTACATCTTCATCTTGCGATGGATGTACAATTTCCACAAGCCGCTGGATAATTCTCTCCTCATTTAGCCACTGTAAAAATGTTTGTGGGCATTAACAGAAAGCTATTGAAGTGAATGAGTTAGTATTAAATGATTCTAGAAGTAGCTTGAAAATTGCCCATTTTTCTAAAAAGGGATTAACAACACTTTAAAGTGTGTGGGGAAAGTTAGGTGACTGTTTCAGAGCAAATACCAGAGAAGGCTCCAGTTATGTTTACCAGGTTATGATTATCTTTTGCAAATATTCTCAATTTAATTGGTGGTACCAAGGGCAACGTGCTCTAGCTGCTGGGAAGCTGCGGTGAGGCAAGCACTAAGCATCACAGTTATGTCAGCATGACACAAAGGGCTCTGCCAATTCCATATGACCAGCAAAAAAATTTAGTTAAGTCTTAGCTTCAGAAATCARCTTCATGATGCAACGCACGTACGCTCCCTAAGATCCAAAACAGTTGTAAAACTGCATCCGATGGCTGCTGGTCATTAAAGCCCAACAGAACAGATGAGTCACTCAGGTGTTTTTATCTAAGCTTTTAAGTTGTTTCCACCAGTGCTGTGGCTCCTCTGGAAAAGCAGYGACAGATCCGAGCACAGGTCAGAAGCACATTGTATTTTGTCACATTTAAGAAATAAACTTAAGAAAACTAATACTAGAAAAGCCACCTTGCACCTCATCCATGCCATAAATCATGTAAGAAGTTTTACTCACATTTAATACTTCCTGCCTAGGTTGTGGTGGTTCTATGCAAGTCAGTAGCCTGAGCAACAAGTCCATGATAGCAGAGGTCCCTATGTGCTTAATAATGAGGTCTACAAAATCATGTTTCTTCTTTAAAAAATCCACAATCTAGAAATGAAAGACAAAGAGCTGCCATTTGCTTCTTTGTTTTATGTGGCAGATTACAACAAAGCATTTTAATTTAATTTTCTCTCCTACCAGTTGAAGACACACAAGAATGTCTTAAACACTTTCACACAAACACAAAGTTTGCAGTACAAAGCAAGATAAAACAGTGTGTGTTTAGAGAGCAGCAAGCATGACCCAGGGCAGACCTACACTACATTCAGTGTGTCCTGGTGTACTCTCGTGCTGACCATAAACTGCTTGTACCCAGTGCACAGCCAGCTTTCCTTGCAGGTATGAAAGCCTCATCCCCAAAATTGCTCAGTGAGCAAAGCTGCTTACTGCAAAGCCCTAGTGCAAAACTCCCAGGCAAATTTAGAGCCTGCTGAACTAAAAGCAGGGAACAGAATCAAACTTAATTTGCCTGGGTAGCAGGGGCAGCCAGAGCAGCTGTGCACAGCAGGAGGACACGGTCATGCAGCAGCACGGCCCTTCTGAAGGCCAAGCCCAGAAGTCTGTCCCGCTCCTTCCAGCCCTGGTCCTGCAGTTGGACCCGCTCCCAGCGCTGCTAACACCCCCTTCTCCAAGTCACTTAAAGGAAACATCCTGGTGCCCACACCGAGGCAAGGCCCACCRAGAACACTTACATGGCAAGTTACTGGCCACACAGGCAGCTCAGATGAGGCCCAACTGACAAATACAGCCTGGGTGCCCCGTTTCTAAATCTTGACTGTGCCCTAACAGTCGCTGCCTTCAGTGAGTACTGAAGCACCAACGCTGTTCTTTGCCTCAGCCCTTGCAAGTGCAGACTTCAGGGAACACTACCGAGCACTGCAACTTCAGAGCAGAGAAGCACTTGCAAAACTAGAGCACTGCGAGCATTTACCTGTTCTGGTTTTCTGCTTATAAGAATACTTAGCACCTTGCTGAAGAAACTGGCCAGTAACGGGTTTAGAGGAGATTCGTTTAAGAGAAAGCTGTACAGTTTCACAAGTAAGGACTCTTCTTCTCCCAACCTATCGTTGATCTGCGAGACATCTGACGTAAGCAGCTCACAGGATATGTTTGGATATCTGGAGAAAGGAGACAAATGTTCATTATCCACGCTTACTATACATACGTACTTACAGCACCAAGTCCGATTTCAGAGAAGCAGCTGCCTTGTAGGACTTCTGACAAAGCACTATAGGTCTGCAGCAACATAGTTAACAGCCTGGTGAAAGGGAGTGAAGGTGTGTTTGTCCTCCTTAACATAGACGATTTCATGTTAAAAGAGGTCAGAATGATCGAATACGTGCTAAAATGGAACTTCCTTAGCAAACTCCCCAAACAGTCGGGGACACACTTTTTAACCATACTGTTCTAGCTCTGCCATGGGAAACACCAGCAACTAGATGTCAAGTAAATGCTGCCAAGGAGTGCGAGGGACTTTCCAAAAACCCATCTTGAAAATATCTTATTAGTCACTGGTAAAACAAGACTATGCACCGAAGTGCACTACCCCAAGAGGAGTTTTCAGTCAACTACTTTTAAATCACCCCAAGCAGTCACAACGATTCTTTATGAGAGTTCTGGCATTCCTAAGTTTTCTGGGCAGCAATTGTTTTTGGAAACGTTTCTGTAGTAAAAAAAGAACCTTTCATTAAAAAAAAARATCTCCCCAAATATTAGAATGACTCATTTACAGCATCCCTCCAAAAGAAACTTGCTCTAAAGCTACCAGCACTCTATCACACACCCACAAGCAGGAATTCAAAACACACTATAAACAGAGTTATTGGTCCCTCTTTCCACCTTTCAACCCCAGAATGTTTTCCTACTTGTATCGAATTTTTTCATCCATATCTTGAGGTGGTTCTTCGATAATAAATGAAACTAAATCTTCCAAACATTCTGACTTCAACAGAAACTCTATAAGTTTGCGGTTCTGAGCCTTGCACTCCTGCAGAACATCTTCCTCATCCATCAACTCCTTCAGTGTTACATCTTCTCTCTCTAGAAGCGTATCTATGTGGGATGACGAATGGAGATCAAATTTCCAAAACATGCTGGTCTGCATAAAAAACAACATACACAAAGCAGTGAATTTAGAAATCTATTGAAATGGTACTTGTTGTTTCCCACAAGAAAGCCAACTCCACATCCACTTCATAGCTTCCAACCCCCAAAGAACCTGCATCCAGGAAAGCTTTCTGGAACTCAAACAAGACACGGATTAGTAGATGTTGAAAGATGAATCAGAAAGCTCCAAATCAGACTTGATTACTACAGATTATCCAGTCATCTTCAATTTTTGTACCATTAGTAAATAGMCAATATTTTAACATGAAGTTAGCTTCCTCCAGAGTTTTATGTACAAGAAACATGCTAATTTGCAACAAGAAAAGGTTAATTTGTGGGTTTCATTTCTTCTATTTTTCCTCCCCTTTGTGATATCCCTGTGGCAAGACTCATATTTGGGAGACACTGCTCAGCACCTACTCGGACTGGCAGAAGAAATGGGCATGGCACAACCCTCCCAGCTTCCAACACCTCTACCCGGTGTGGCACTGAGGGAGACACCTCTGTGGGAGTCGGAAGCAGAGCCAGGTCTGCCTTGCTGGCAGCACACCTCGCACACAGGAGTTCATCTGAACACGGAACCGGCTCCCTCACTGCACCTCCCTCCACAAGCCTGACAAGCAGGGGAAAACAAGGGACAAGAAAACTTAACATGAATAAGCCRGAAACGCCAGTGTCCGACCCACAGAGACACTGCAGAGGCCTCACAAAAGCACGAGGATGAGCAACTGCATCTTTCCTCAYGAGTGCTCTGAGTTCCACCCTGTGCCGCTTCAAAAAAAACCCTTCAGGCTCAGACAGCTGCACAGCCTCCTGCCGGCCTGTACTCCTCCTTAAGCCCYGGACAAGCATTTGTTGCGTGCTCAACAAATGCAGACTTTGATACTACATTTTACTTGCAATTCAGCATCAGCTAGTCTTGCGTGACTGAAGAATTTAAAAAACAGATTGAAATATATGCTGGTGATTAATAAGGGAAATAGTTCTTTGCTGAAACTACAAGTACACAACAGCATTATTTTGGGCAGTACTTGATAAAACGCAGGGAATAAGACAGTCTAGGAACTGCCTTCCAGGTGTGAACAGTTGACTCAATGTCACATTACTGACAATATCACTGTGGATGTGTAGTTAAAGTAAAGAATCCAAATGAAGACTCCACTTAACAGGAACACATTTGCAAGCTGCAGTTTTGGGTGCAGAGGGAACTAACTTGCAGACAACAGCTGAGCCAAAGTTGTGTCTTTGCTATAAGCACTCTTGAAAATAAAGTACAAAATCTAAGCTAGAAATACCTGTTCCTATGTAAATCAATAGGTCATCAGCTTTAGATACTGATATGCTAAATTTGCACGGATTCAGCAAGCACACCAGAAGTGCTGAGCACTGGGAAGCATCTAATTCAACACCTTGTAAGTTTGGGAGCCACCGAGACTAGAATCTAGGATTCAACAAAACATTACATCTTGCCCCGTTACCAAGACATCTGCATTTTTCCTACAAATAGGAATAAGCCTGGTGTTCTCATGATGGAGGAGAGGTTTTGCTTGCTTTTGGGGTTCTACGATAAAGATCATAGATATGGGGTAAGATATGGGAGACATGAACCAAAATAAGGGGGAAAAAAAAAGATGGGAAGCAGTACAGGTGACTTCAGTTGCAACACTAGTACTCAATCACATGAGATCCCATGCAAGGATTAAAATGAGTAATTGGCTAAAAAAATAGAAAAGTCTTTCTACTAAAAGTATTAGTAATCTTGCAAAAAGTACAAAACATCTGATTTTACTTACAAGAGATATTAGCATAAATCAAATTATACAGAGTTGTTATTAATACCATTGGCTTAGGGGTATTCAGCTCTACAAAGACTTATTGTGAGCAAGTAAACTAGTGCTTTGGTAAAGTCARAGTGTTTTTGCTTTGGGCTCTTTTTCAAGCTCATAGTAGGATCTAATCCCTCCCCTCGTCCCAGTTAGGGCAAACTGCATCTTTGCAAGCAGCTGCTACCAAGGCTACCTCCAGATGGAAATCTCTCTGCAGAGGTTAAAGTTCATTTTGTTCAAGCTACTTCTCAGCTACTTAATTTAAGAGAAATTTGGTGATAGAAAATAACAACAACAAAAAAGAGGCATACTACTGCAAACATGTTACAGCGTTATTTCACAAACTCTCCCAGGCAAGCGCTTAGGGGATGCTCAACATGTCACGTGCCGGCCAGAGATTAGTCCATCGCTTTTCAACAGGAGCCCGGGTCCTTTGGAGTAAGGAAAAGATAAACACTGTAAAATGTGCCAAGGGAGGAGTCCAGGAACCCTRAGGAGAAGAGAACTAGGTGTTATCACCAGTGATTGTCAAGGGGCAGCGTACCACAACTGCCAGTAGGAAGGCTTAGAAGGAAAAAGAGTTATCAATATTTTCTTATTTTTCGTGCTTGTGCACTGGAAGAGGCAAGAGGAGTCCTCCTGCTCTCAGTTTGGGAACGAGCACCCTCTCCTCCATGCTCCTCCCAAAGCTTCAGCATGGGCACATTTACTATCAGCTCTGAAGGTCAACAGGGATGCAACAGTCTTGATATTCAAGTCCCATGCTAATGTAAGCACTGAGCTGCAAGGCAGACCAAATACGAAGCATGCTAAAGATTAGGCACTAGGAGAAGCAAAGTAATCCAGCATAATACAGAAGACAAAGAGCCACACCATACTGCACGCAGACTAGAAAAGTTGTGTTGAAGATGTCTGAGYTACTGCAGCTACCTCACTGTAAGCCATAACCTTCAACCAGCTTTGCCAGCCAGTGAGCAAACCTAACAGGCTCCAGATGCACACAGAGTCGGCCCAAAAGCTGACATCAGCCAGATGTAAGCTTCGGTGCCGAGGTGAATGCTGGCCATTCTGGAAAAAAAAAAACACATTTGTTCCCTGGGCAAATGCTGAAATACTATGGCATGTAGTATGCCCCTCACCAGTTCTGAATGGGTAAAAAGCAGGTCAATATAGTACCAAAAGCCTGACATTGATTTGAGACACAGGCCAAAGTTCTAATTTAATTGCTTTTTCAAAGGAAGAAGTAAAACTTTTGAGTGATTCGTTCAGTCCAGATAGCCCTAAAGCCTCTCCCTGCTATTAATCAACAAGAAGCCACCTGCATTCAACCGTAGATTTCAACTAGAACAACTATTAAAAAAGAACATGAGCAACTCCTGCCAATGCACATTTTGCACACTTGTGCTGTGACTAAGTCCACGCTTTCTACCCGCAGTGGGTGCAGGCAAGAACATCTAATACCTGGGCACCTTCCGCTGGTGCTTCTGCATTAATAACTTTGGGCATAAAACATTTCTTTATCCTCTCAACTACTATTTGAATGTGGTAGAAGTGCAAGCAAAGTTCTCCTAGTAAGACCTCGCCATCATTAAGTGCAAGATTCAGCAACTGTAAGGAACCATTTCATTTTAAATAACCTAGTAACAACTCAGCACATTGAGCTACTCCCTGGCACAATTTCATTTACATATCAAAACAAGGCACGGCAGCTTCCTCCAAATACTGTCAAGGATTCCTGCATAAGCAAAGGCCATTTGGGAATACAAGAGAAAACACTTCAACAACTCTGTTGATTTTTCTACTGCTTGTGCTGGCTGTACTATGGATACGACGCCTTCCAGCTACCGCATGCATTTACAGCGTATCCTTCTCAGCTAATAAGATCCTCAGTGGATAACTGCACACCCAAGTGAAATGGGTGCAAGAGATGCCCACGTGGCAATATCTTATTGAAGGAGACAAAGTGTATAACCAAATAGTATGAAGACACAGTAATTTTTGACATGCTCTTAAGCAGCTGCCTCTGCTCCCCAGGGAGAAGACAATCCATGCTTATGATCAGGTAGCAGAAGTAGGATCCTGCTATGGCTGCAGAGCATTCAGAATTTAACTATGGGACCAAAATCACATTTTCTCTATTATCTATTTATGAAACTCGCTATGCTTTTATCTGGGTCAGGATTACTTATATTACTTATAACAAACATGTACACAGAACCCCTGTAGTCTAACAGCTTGATGTTCCAGAGTGTGCAAAGAAGTCCCAAAGCAGTTAGCACTTGAGACAGACACCAAATCCCTGCAAATTCATCAAGTTGGAGCAGTCTGGTGAAAAACTAGAAAGCAGCTAAAACCTGCAGTCTGCAATGAAGCTACAAGAGCAATCCTGCACCAAACAACAAGCATATCCTTGACAACGCCCAGAGTTCATACCTCAAATCACTGGTTAATATAAATGCAATCTTAATGACCTCCAATTAGTCACCGCTTTTCGTGATCTAAATTGAGAAGGTAAATGACTTCCTAGAAACACCACTTTAACAGTCAAACATTTACGCTTCTACAAATATTTACTGGTCAAAGAACTCAGATTCTGGATATTTTCATCTTTTCTATAGGTTAACTTTGAAATGGGAATGAAGATACCTGGATACTGAGGAAAATAAGACAGTTCAGCCACGTTACAATGAGAAAGCTGAAGAACATGCAGGAAAACCTTACTCTGAAGCAGACAGTTCAGCACCAAGACCCAGGTAAGCAGACAGCATTGCCATATTGCACTGCTAGAACCTACTGCACTAACAGCATTCATATCTAGCGTATGTCAGTTCACAAGCACATTTGCTTTGAAACTCTTGCACAGAACAGGAGGCTCGGCAGCTGACATTGGTCACAAAACCAGACCACTTTAAAACCGTAAAGAAAGTCAACACACTTTAAACCAAGTCCCCTGGAAAAGAAATAGAGCAACCACAACAGTGAGCCCAGATAACCCTCCATTCTCATTATCAGACCAAAATAAAAATAAAGATAGGAGACAGTGCAACAGCAGGGTGAAGAAGATGATAAAAGTTTAAAAATAACAATTAGAAAGTAATGAGAAAAAAAAGAAAAGCTGCAATAAAAGGGAAGGAACAACCACAAAGCCTGAACTGGAAAGAAGGAAAAGCAGCTTAGAAAGGGTTAAGCCTGAACCTACAGGAAACAGGTAAGTCAGCCTTTATTGGACACCATGGACAAGAAAAGAAGGTAAGGCATTCAGGAACCACTTGCATTTTAGGCTAAGGCTTTACAGGTGCAGCAGACAAATCTACCACTATAGACGACGTTTAATAGCAGTGTTTCTTACCTGTTAACACAAAAGTTTTTAAAGACTTAAATAAAACAGAATGATTTGTATTCTCTGAGGCTCCTTGCCCATTACAGGGGATCCTGGCAACAGCAAAAAATCTTTCAATCTACAGTATTAGCAGATTAGCAGGACTGAATTAGGTTAAGATGAAGCAGATTTCTTCCTACAAGAAAAAAAAAAGACATTTTGCAATTTAATAATGTTAACAGGGTCCATTAAACAGCTCAACAGCTGCATGAACAGTGTTGCTTGCAAGAAAGAAAAAATATGAACAACAGAGGAAAGAAGCAACTTGCTAGGAAGAAAAGTAATCCATTGTACCATACTCAGAGAAATGCAAGGAGCCCATCTCCTGAAAGAAAACCATGACAGACTTCATCCAATGAAATATCCCCTTTCACTGCTGGGAAGCACAGGAAGCAGCCTTGGCATCTTCACAGGACAGGAGAGAACAAAGGCAGATTGCCAAGGGAGGCTGCACGAACGTGGAGTTTGTTATCGTTCTTTTGTTTGACTATAAGCAATTCCATGTGAAGTCACATCTTCAGACCTAGAGGTCAGAACTGCTCCTTGCTAGTTTTTCTACACCTTATTTTCTCCTCAAAACTACTCTCTGACTGCCTCATATATTATGGCGTGATCTATGCACAATCTTGCGCAAAAACAGAGATACAAGCATTAAAAATTCCATTCTTCTGGCATAAATCTGTGTAAGAAATTCAGACACTTCCCATGAGTTAAAACTTAGCTTATCAAAAAAAAAAMCCCAAAATCACAGGTAAGCCTATTTTAAACTGAGAAGCCTACTTCAAAATGAGAGTTTGCACACAGACTTAGAAAGTAACCATCCACATTAGGAGAGCATTTGGTCTCCCAAAACTCAAAGACCTCTACTTTTAGATACTCCAATTCTGTCAATATAGAGCAAAATTACACTAAAAAGAATAAGAAAAACATCCAAAATTGTCCTCAAGAGCAATGCTACCAGCCCATGCTTTTAAGAGGTCAATATCACATAAACAAAAAGAGTTTCTTATTAGGTGATGCTTCTTGCACAGACAGCCATTTCTGGCAATCTCCTGAAGAACTTCTAAAACAAAAACAATCACTTTCCTTTTCCTCCAGCTGAAGTGTTTTAGAGAGAGCTTCCACTTTCTTTTAATACAGACTGCAAGCAAACTAACTTTTGCTGCTTTTAAAAGCAAGGGTAATGTTATCCTTGAAAGAAAGAAGTATCTGCAACTAAGAGGGATGGGGGATGGCAAGCAGAGCAGCAAGTTCATTAATTCGTACCAGCATCTGGTACTTGGCTAGAGGCTCCACTATCAGAATTTTAGTCATTAGGGTATCTTCAGCCAAAGAAAACACATTACCACGCTAAGTACAAGCACTTCGCCAGTGGAGACAAGGATGACTTAATTTTCTTCTTCCCATATCACAGAGAGAGGGTATTTAATGAATATTCTGCAAGGATTAAAAACACAACTGTGACTATGAACCTAGAGATACGTACTGGAACACATATTTCTTCTGATTTCAAAGCAGTGTTTGCATTCTGGTTAAGCAAAGATCCAAGACCAATTGTTTTTATTAAGCTTTGTTGGGACTAGTAGTTTTCGTGGCTTGGAACACATTATTTGGTATTGCCAAGAATTGTGGAGTCAAGTCACCTTATTTCCCTTTTACTCACAACAGTGCAAAGTCTCCAAGCCTTAGTGTACACAAACACTAGATACAGCCCTCTCTAAGACTATTTTAGTAACCAGCATACACGTGAACTGAAGGTCAGTGTAATGCATTGACCATAATACTTTCAAAGGTCAAATGTGTTTTTCATCCTTAGCCCTTCAGGTCTAAATGTCAAGTAGATTTGCCAATCCCTTGCGAGTCAAGTGACTAACAAGAGGAAAAAAATAAACAAGTTTACTGAACTTGATTCGCTCTACCAAAGCTGACTTGGTAATCATTTCTGGACTTCAAATGTTCACTTGTATTCAGAGGCTGAGCTCCACGTTCAGGCAGGCTGCCTATTCCTCAGTTATTCCATTCACATGAAAACCAAGAAGTCCAATTCAACTGAATTCATTTCCAAAGAGTTTACAGAAGTCCCAGAATACTGTCTATCCAGATTTCACTTGCCAATAAAACCATGCAAATGAAAATCACTATTATTACCCTCCTTAGAAGGAAGTCCTTTTTCTTCTCTTCTTGTATTGAAGACAATTTTGGTGTCTAAATACCTGATAAAGTGTACTGGCACTCTTTTTGATAGGGAAGTTAAACATTATCTGACCAAATATCTTCTGCAAGGTGAAACACTGTATTAACACTGCATAGACTGGGGCATATTTGCTCCTGAAACAGTTCCCATACATTCCTTGTCCAAACGCTTGAGGTGAAAAGGTCTCTTCTAAGCCTGTTCTTCACACACAGAAACCAAAGCAACATTTGTGTATCCCAGCAGTGAAGTATGATAACTACAACACACTGAACAGTGCTGCTCTTATTCCACATCCCACCAATAGTAAAGGTGTTGGGACAACAAGAGTGGAAAGCACAAGTCACCAAGTGGTTTAACCTTATTTCATATACCAGGTCCCAAAGCAGCACAATTGCTTTTCTACAATATTGTGCTTTGAGAAGAGAGGGGAAAAAAAATTCCTTCTTCCACTGGCTTATTGCCTCAGAACAATTCCTTGGTGCATTTACAATCCATCAATACTAAGCTGTTAAATATTAATGCTCCAGGCAATGCAAATATGAAGTCATCATCTAGAGGAGACTAAATAGACTCATCACTGCATTTTATACATCCTTCCAAATGTCTAGGTGACTGGTTCTGATGACTGCTGGGAGAAGCAGATAGACATCACACATTCTCAAAAATATTTCATTATTTTCCCCCATACCCTTCCCAGAGTAATTTCGTTCCCTTTTTTAAAATAAAACAGCCATAACTCTTTAAAGCTGCTTAGMAAAATCACAAAAAAAACTCCCCTTGCAATTGTTGCAATTCAGTTTCAGGTCTTGGAGTGAGACTGAAGCAGCCAAGCAAGCCCATCAAGGTGCCTGTAAGCTACACTGAGCTCTGTGAGCACATTTCCTGAAGCTGGGGTCAGTACTACACCCAGCAGCCCACGCTTCAGTCATACCCAGCCTTTAAACAGCAGCCGAGTGACCACAGAACACATAATGTGCAACACGTTGGGATGATGTACAAAAATAAATATACCACTACACACACACACACCCCAACACCACAGATTTATCCTCCTAGTACTTGGTGTTTAAGACGGCTCTTTTGCACTAGGGCTTAAACTCCACAGAGCTCAGGTTACCAGCCGCAAACACTGTGCCGAGAGCGCGTGGGCAGGGAGCCGCTCTGCCAGCAGCTCGTGCCAGCCAGGGCGGCTCCACCACGCAGCTCCCATGGCCCTGGCTCGGCCAGCCTGCTCCCTGCCAGCACCACTCCAACTTCGCCAAGCTGCTGGGGAGCAAAATCACTTTTAGATGCTTTATCCTCATTTGTGAGCATTTATGAAGAAATGTTTTACTTAGCCTTACAGCAATATGTGTGAACTTTAGCTGAGGGTTTCCCCTRCCTTTTAAAATATTTATTCCATTCTATTCCAGTATATGCTCTCAATAATCATGAATGATTTTTTGAGAGTCAAACCTCAGAAGCTGTGTCAGCTCCCATCAGTATATTTGCCAGCACAGCCGCCCTTTTGCTGGGCATGACCCGAACCAGTGCTGTAATCTCTGGCATCTCTCAGGGCCTGCCCCGCGCCGCTGGGACACGGCTGGCAGCACGCTACAGAACACACAGCTTGAACAGGCCTGTCAGTATTATGCAAGGGTACGAGACAAAGTCCCCTAAGGTCACAGCTAGGACAACATTACCCGAAACAGCAGAGCTGCATGAGACTGGGCAGCACTGAAGCTCCTCAAGCCTTCACTACTCTTTTCTGGTAATTAACCTAGGAACCATGACACACAACTTTGAACACAAGTAAAAGCACAYGCACAGCTGGCAGACCCTTCTAATACAGCCTGCGGTGCGTCACACATACCCACCCCCTCTCTCCAAGCAACCTTCCAAGACAGACAAGTTCCTCCTCCTTTTACCTTGCTTATTAGGCCTTGAAAGCTGGCCACAAATCAAGTTGGACTGCACGAAAACATACAACTAGCCAAGATAAAAGCAAGCTGCTTACTTCAGCGACTTTAATCCGGGAAGCCAAGCGCATTCTTGTAGAGATAGTGCATTCAGGTTTGCTAGGTGTTTCCTCGCTATGCAAAAGCCCTGTCTGCAGGAGGAGCACTCAAGAGCGCTTCCAGAGTGGAACTCAGCTGGTGCCAGAAACTAAAAATGCTTCAGCTCAAGTTCCCAAGAGCTACAGCAGCCAGAATCAGAATGGACTTTCTTACAGTAAGACAGTTTCTCCAAATTATGCCCAAAGCTGTGCATCACTTGCTTCCTTCTTGCTCGATTCTTGGTTTTCATAAATACAGTCTACAGGCAGTTGCCCATTCCGAAGGCAACAGGCGAGAGTGCCCTTTAACGAGAGCATCAAGCAAGCAGTTATATTGGCTTTGATTTCTGTGCTACCGTGTCCTACGACGCCTGACAACCATGAACATGGGCCAATAAACCCAGCCTGACCACTTCACAAAAACAGGTTTTGCTTTTCAGCCTGGATCCCCTTTCACTTCAATGAGCCCATGGGCTGGCACCATGAAAACAAAAGTTATTCTTCCTTTAATGTTCAATTTAAGTCAATTAAGTATGTATATTACCTACACACACACACACACCCCACACATAAACACACTTTGTCTCCTTGATTTTGACTTATTCTGGGGGAGCCAATTTTCACTTCACTTTTGGAAAGCTTAGGCCCAGGTCCCCATCTCTCAGTTTTGATCATTATCCACAAAATTCCTTGAATGAAAGTAGAAGAGTCATTCCCATGTAGCTCTGAGGGAATGGAAATACATTACATGGGCACAGACACTTGGATACAAGAAAAGTGGTACTATTCTGCTGTATTTTCTTACTTAATATACGTGAACCTAGGAAAAGTTTAAGCACCATCCAGAACCTACCTATTTTCGTACAGGTGCACCTGAGCTTCTGCTGGAAAGCATGTTCTGCCCACA